AAATATGCAAGACGCAACCACATGTACCAAGACGTATACCAGCACACACCATCCACAAAGAGATATGTGACATTAAGAGAGGCACCACAATACACAACATTTTAATTTTTAACTTTTTAATTTTTAGATATTGCGCACAATGAGTAATTAGTTTACGCATAGCACATGATCAGTATGCCAACAGTGTAACAATTTTTTTGCAACAGTATTGTCACCTAGTATGTTTCTGACTATAGACAGGGTTTACTGCGTTCTCCAATCCATCCCACGTCTGCCACCAGTTTTCATGTAGTATGTGTGTGGCTATAGATGAGGTTTCAATTGGTGAATACATTTATTGACCACTTACAGGTTGTAAATACAGATAACTGTAAGACTATCGCTATTTCCAAACTTCACAGAAATGGCCCTGGTATATCCACCCTTCTTGCGGTCATTGCATAGCAACGGCTCTGCTCACCACGGTATACACACCTGATGATGGTCTTTATGAGGCTGTAACATGTGATTAATAGTGGAAGAAAGACATGAAATAAGAGTGGTTAAATCAGGGCCTGCATGGAAGGGTGCACTGAAGACCATGTTTATGTACATATGTGTACATCATGATGTGCAAGGTTTAATTTGTGGCAGGTTAGGGAATCCACCATGTCCAGACTGACTTGGTTAACCCCTCCTCCTGCCTGTTGGACAGTGTTGGTCTTTCCTTGGGTGTATAATGGTGAGAGCATGAAGCTGATCATTCTCGTTCATCCAGTATCACAGTTAAGAATCCATGGAGCTTTACCTACACTCCTGCTTGTCTTTGTTGCATGGTGCTTAGGCACAAATACAACTTTGCACAAGAACAAAAAAAGAAATAATCAGTTTTAGTTAACCAGAAAAAAAATACATTAATTACCTAGTTCACTGAACCTTAAATAATTCATTCTTTTACTTTTACTGTATTGAATATAAATATTACTTTTGCAGTTACAAACATGTGAGGCCAGCTCTTTCTCGCTGACAATTCTGTTGGAAAGTTGTGTGGATCAGCAGTACCCAGAGTTCAGCTCACGTTTCTCAGTAGTCGTGGATAACAACTTACGTTTTGCAACATCTGTCCAAGAGGCAATAAGTAACATTAAACTCAGATATTCTGTAAGTATATCACTGTCTTTCATTTTGTAGCATATATTGGGTATAATCATTTTCTCACCTTCTATATGAACTGGTGTATAGCCCATTGAAGTTTAAGTAGGAAAGCTGAATTGCTAAAGATTTCAGTTTGTTTTCCTGGTTTATAAATTTGCAGAACTGATTGTAGTAGTTCTCATATTCATACCCCACGGCTGTTTTCTTCAACACTGTGATGACATTCTTTACCAGGTGGAAGTGTGAAGCTTCTGAAAAAGCTATTTCCATCACCAGGGTTCTCTTTTTACCGTCAAATACCCAAATGTTTCCATTTAAACAAGTAAATTCTTGTAAAATGATGAGCATAATTGGTAAGATAATTCTGATGTTTTTTAAACGGTTTATGTGTAGCCACTGACAGCTTCTCAAGCCTTAGATACTGTGGCATGCCCTCTCTAGTTGATCATAGAGTTCTGAAATATTTCTCTTTATTGTCAGATGGTCAACGAGTCGGAAGGGGGGAAGAAATTATTCATATACGACTTGTGTCCACCTTCCACTCTTGTGAATCATTTACTGTGCCATGTGTAATTACATCTTGTGCTGCATGCTCTTTGCCCTTCCTCAGGCACACTTTCTTGTCATTATTTACCCAGTGGAGTCATGTAATTTAAAAATGTTGATGCCAAAACGTTTGTCATTTTTAGGGATGCACAGTTTTATGTACACATGTGCCAGTCTCAAACTTCTTAGTTTGTGTCAAGAAAAAGAATCTCAATTGAAATGTTGATTTTTTTAATTTTGAACTTCAAGAATATTCAGAGAACAGTTTTTGCTTTTCACAAAATTGTATTTAAGCATCCTGTTGCATTAATATACTCTTCATTAACACACTGTACTTCTGTATATGGCCATCATCAGGTGTGTCTATTTGCTAAAACTGGCTGCAACATTCAGGAAGGCAATTATCATTGAGTACAGCCATTATGCATTGAATTTAGTAAAAATTCAAAAGCTTCCCACTAAATGCAGAATATCTGGTAAATATTGTGTCAGTGGTTATACAGGCATTATGGATTGAATTTAAGTAAAAGTTCAAATGCTTCCCACTAAATGCAGAATATATGAGTAAAGTGACTGGCTGAATGACCAGGGTTTGGTTCCCAGCAGGGACATTGATTTCACTTTCTGCTAGCATGCTAAACCAACTCTGAATTCCACCCAGCCTCCCATCCAATAAGTACTAGAGGCTCATATTAGGAGGCAAAATGTGAAGCTAACCATTCTCTGTCTGCTGAGTAGGTTAAGAGGGAGAAGTTTTAGCTTTACTCATACCTCCCAGACTTTGTATGTAGCTCAGGGACAACTTTATCATTAATAAGTATCCTTGAGTGTTGATTTGTTCTGTCAGCTTAATTATAGGGGTCATGCATGTTTTATGTCTATGTTTGGATGTAATTTCTCCTGTTGCAGGTACAGTGGCCTCTGTCTTTGATACTGAATGAACGAAGTATGGAGTACTACAATACTGTGTTCCAGTTTCTTCTGAAGATAAAATGGGCCCTCTTTTCCTTACAGAAACTTAGGTTCTCAGGTTGTTACCAATTATAGTACCTCTGTTGAATTTAAAAGCGTACATATATGTATATAACTGGGGGCACGTGGTAACATAGTTGGGTGAGCCACTATGCTACAAGCTGGAAGGTCGCGGGTTCAAGTCCTGATGAGGTCATTGGATTTTTTTTAGTTGACCTAACCCTTCCAGCCACGCTATGACCATGGGGTCAACTCAGCCTCTAACTGAAATGAGTACCATGAATTAATTAAATAATTTTCCTGGGGAGTAAAGCGCGGCCGGCGCGTAAGACTGACAGCCTTACTGCCATCCTTGAGCCAGTTGTCTAGATAATGTGGGGCCCTCAACATCTCACAGCCCTATGGGCCTTCACGGCCTGTTACAGGGATAGCTTTACTTTTACTTTACTTACATGTATATAATAATTAGCATGTGCAGTCATTCCAGTGAAGATTTGATTCATGTGGCTCAAATGTGAGTGCAATGGCAGGCTCTTGTGTATGTGGCAATGAACTTTCGGGTTCCATAAAATGCAAGAAATTTCTTGACTATGTGAGAATTTGGGCTGCTAACTTATGAAGGAACCTGTTCCATTGATTTGGTTTCATTCAGTTCTATTTCTTATCTTCAATTAAATGTCCATACACACACAGTATTTATGCATGTATAGGCCACACTTTTTAGTCTATAATTTCTGTCCAAAGATAGGTTGTAGCCACTGTGTATGTTACTATATTCTCATTCACAAGACTACAAAAATTATGGAATATACCCTGTTCCAAGGAACTTGGCTAAATTATACCTCTGTCTTAAAATATAACATTTATACAACCAAAACAGATGCATGTTATTTTTCATAATGAACTATTTTACTGTATTTTGTATCTCCACAGTAAATTTTCACAAGTACAAGATGTGTGTGCAGTCAGCCCCTTATGCATGTAAACTGAATATGCTGTAGAGAGAGTTCATTTAAATGTAGTTGATGTTAGATTATATAATACACATATTACATGGCACAGATGAACTTTACCTTTGGGTACATTATATGCATTCCATTGCATCTGTTTTTTGTAACTTGTTCAGATTTGGAGCAGAGAGAAAATAAGCTAAGGCCTCTGAACAAGAGAGTGATGGACCGAATGCACAGACTTCACTGTCTGCGATTTTGGCTGCTTCATTCAGTGAGTAGTGTACATGGTTATCTCATGGGGCAAGCATTACATTTGCTAAGCTCGGAACTGGAGCAGACGATTGAGCAGGCACAGGATCTGGATGCTTTGGTGAAAGGTAAGGTTGTAGTTTCATTAAAACATTTAAATTTTAAGTCAAGAGTGTATGATACATTTATAGCCTTTGTTTTGTGTTATGAATAGGATATTACTATTTGCCACTGATTGTCATCCTTCCTTGAACCTTTTCTAACATTTAATCTTTTCAGACACATGTCAAGAACTTCTTGTTATGTCTTTCAAAATAGCAGCAGCATTTCAAACCCTCCTAACACAGTAATAAATGATATAAAGTTAGTCATGTGAGATCTGAGACTTTTGCAGCATTGACTGTGAAACATTCTATCCTATGGGATATAACACTGCATAGTCTGTTGAAAGTCAGCTGATTTTTCAGAGGAGCTTAACACTTCCGTCTTCAAGGTTGAAGAGTAAGTCAAGCAAGAAAAGCAGCATGAATCACACATCAAGCAGAGCATTTTTTTAAGGGGGTGTTATTTGTGATTTGTTTGTTTGTGGTCCCCCCATGTTACAGCAGTGATATGAAGGTTACCATCTTCTTGGATGCGACACCATGTAGTCTGGTAGATGTTTACTGATGTTCCTACAGAAATGTCAGGAAACATCTAACAGGCTACATAGTGTCCCATCCCAGAAGGCATTAATCTTCACAGAGGTTCTCAGTTTCTTCCATTTCTGGAATATCATTGCAGTATTCAAAAGGTAAGGGTAAAAAGAAATCACAGATGTTCATTATATGAGCAGAACAGGCAGAGGTTTTTTGACTGATTGAACATAGTGATTATTGGCTTATTTAAATATTCACATTGTGATTTTCTTGGTTATAGTCTGGTAGAATTATGTGAATATTGTCACAAATTAGTGAGTAGGTATGGTGTTCGGCTTTGTAATTGGATTTATTGGACTCATAACTTGTAACTGCTGGTAACTGTAACGGTTCCATGGATCTATGCACTTTATACGTAGGTTATCCAGGAAGTAAGTTCAGATGGGCTATTGAAAAAAAATATTTTCAAACCATTTATATTGCCATTTGATGTTCATACCATACACTACTTTTTGACATAGTTCCCACCATTGTTGAGGCAATTGTTGTAGTGGGGCACCATTTTTTGTACCCCTGCATTGTAGAATGATGCCACTTGCAATGAAAACCATGTGTTAATGGCTTCCTTGACCTTGTTATCTTGAGGGAACGACCGACCACCAAGGAAAGTCTTCAGATGCAGGAACACATGAAAATCACTTGTCACTAAGTCTGGGCTGTGGGAGTGGAGGGCGATTGAATTGTTCCCAGCCAAATGTTGCAAAGAGATCTTGCATTGTCATGAAGCATCACAACACCTTGACTAAGCATGCCATGTTGCTTGTTCTGGATTGCACGACACAGTTTCTTAAGTGAGTCGAAATAGACACTTGCATTGATTGTTGAGCCTTGAGCAAGAATTCCACAAGCAGAACACATTTTCTGTCTCAAAACACTATGCGCATTTTCTTGCGAGTCGAAATGGTCTTTTTGAATTTTTTCTTTATTGGTGATGATGTGACTACTGCTTTGATTCTATGGTTGCATGCGACACCCATGTCTGATCTGTGACGCTGTGGCTCAGGAAGTCATTGCCTTCCTCACTGTATCGTGTCAGAAAGGTCAACGCACTGGCCTGCCATTTCTTTTTATGTTCTTCCATAAGCATCTTCGGCACCCAACAGTTTCTGAAAACGAAGTTTATCAGGCACAATTTCATGAAGAAGTGACCGTGAAATTTGTGGAAAATGCAAGGAAAGTGACAGAATGATGACTCGTCTGTCGCACTTGTTTGAAGCTGTGAGATTGTGTTTACTTTTTCATTGCCTACCAGCAGATGACACCTCTTGTTCATTTATTCGGTCACATCAATATATTTTGCTCACTTATTCAGTGAAGTGCCTTTTTCCAGTGGGACAGAGCAATTACATGATTAGCAGGTAAGATACAATGCTCAAATTGAATTAACAGGCCTGAATGTGTTTATATAGTAGTTGCCTTACTCATTTTTGTGTCAGTTTTTCCTAAAATAAACTCTATTTATAAATACAGTAGAACTTGGTTATAACATCATCAAAGGGACCTAAAAATAGTGTCGTTATAAACGAATGTCGTTGTAACCGAAATGGACACTTCCACAGTAGCCTTATGTTAGTCACGTAAAAATCTACCAAAAACCGAGTTAAAATGTTGCATTTTTTAGTGAAATACGTAGTTAAGTACAGACTAACGTAACATTAACATGAAATTGCCCAAATGTATAATATCAAAGACATATTACAGCGCTTTTCACTGACAATACACACCACACTAATACTGTATATTAAAGGTAGGCCTACTCACCAAATTACAGTAGATTACATCAATTGT